TCACTATATGGAGCCTTGTAGTTACGGGCATCTACAACAGCCTGGCTTTGGCATACCTTATTCCTGTTGAATTCATGTGGTAACCTGGTACACAAGTTCTTCAGCAATTTGAGACATTTAAACTTCACATATGGTTCGTTTCTCTCGAGCTTTTGTAACAAATAGTTCTCCACTGTCGGCAATATGGATGGATCCCTAACGACCATGTCAGTGATGTCCTTGTAGACATATCCAGGTGTAGGTTCCGAGGTAGCCGATGTGGCCCTACTGAGTAGGTTGCGCTGATTTGAGCTCAGGGATTCGTGCTGCGCCATATTTATTCCTTATGACGTTCGAATCCGTCTATATTGTGCCCTGGTATCGCCGTATGTCTGGACCCTAACGAATCGCTGTTTATGCTAACGGCTCACCAACGACCTACAAAAGTTATATGCATCTAATTTGTGTATATTGAGTGCTGTGTCAGATTATACTGTTTCAATATGCGGCTATTTTCCACGCCCGCGATACAGCGGTGTGTGCGCGTTACTCACTATGTGCCTCACCGCCATATAACACTCCTATTTAACCTATGACTTTTCAGCGGATGCATTAGATCCTGTCTGTTTTGAAAACTCGGCCAGTTCCCCCCTGAATAGATGGTTATCTTTGACACATAGTGCCTCCAACGGTGATGTGTTTTGGAGTCCCGTGTGTTTCAGTTTGTATTCAGGTGACCATCTCCACTCTCCTCTGATAGATCCCAATGGACTGACATTTCGCCTCAGTAAGGTAGTTGTGATCACCGGTTCTTTTGTGTCATTAGTTCCCATCCCTCCAGTTATGTACATGTCGGCAACTACCTTTGCCTTAAAGGGACGCAGCTGCACAGGTATTATAACATTACCTCTTGTGGAAAACATACCTTATAATCCACATGTTTGATAACATAGCAAATGTTATTACGCATATTTGCGTCTGTTACATAGTAGCATCCATTGACCTTTGTAATACGCTGCCTTCCTTGTGCTTCAATATTTGCTTCAATAGCTCCTTTATCGCTATGGGTTTCATCGGCAGGCGAAACGCGATGTTTCTTGTCCCTCATCGGTTTCCAAACTAAACAGTTGACTCCATGTAATGGCAATGGATGCAGAGTCTCGAACAACGTTCTCACCTTTGGATCGCGTTGTGCAAACTCTGAAAATATGCTGATCCCTATATCCGCTGCTTTCGGAAAACGCTTTTGGTGCGAATGCCAGGGGTATTTGTCTATATCTGGCCAGTAGTAATCTGTGACATATGATCGCTCATACAAAAGACCTACTCGGCGTCCTCGGATTCCTTGCTCGATAAACCGGTTTGTACTGTCGATAGTAAGGGTAGAGTATATTTTTGAGTGGTCTCGGCTGTAGTCGGTGTGTACCAATAGCGCTGTGATAGTATATAGTCTTCGCCGCTGCCGCGTTGCCACCACCACGAGACGACGCCATATTGCGATATTATGTATGTCTACTGCTAGATGCCATATGATACGCTAAAATATGGTGAAGTTGTTGTTTTTAACATGTGTAAAAGCGCATTTTAACCGAACAAATGACCTCTTGCCGAGAGGGCTTGTGGTGTAGTGGTAACATGTTCGCTTCGCATGCGAAAGATCTCGGGTTCGATTCCCGACGAGTCCAGTGTTTTGAATGTTCATTGTTGTTCCCTTCATTATGTTTCTACGCCACAGCTCAACAAAACCCTTGTATAGCACAAGGTTAACATGGTAGATATGGTAAAAAGATTTCCACATTTTCTTATGCTATTATATATCACCAATACCATGAATCCAATCTTCACATCTGATCCCTGTGATATACAACTATCGGGTATAGTGTTATTAGACTACTTTCTACTAGACGATATTACCGGCTGGCGAAAGCGAGTTAATAAAGGTTTCCAAAAATATTGGAACAATACAAATTGGCATTTCAACATATGATTATTTCCTAGCAGACAAGATAATGTAGGACCTCATAACATGTATATAAACAGCTTATAACGACTAATAGTCTCAGTGTTATAGTATCGGACATGTACATCCGTGGTTTGTACATTGTGACTTGTTGATACTCCATTATACCGATCACTTCATTTCGAACAATCGTCTATTTATTCTTCACTACCGTGTTTGATAGACGCAACAATAGCGGCACAGTTGAGATTGTCAGGCTCCAGTGCGAACAATGTACCTTGCACTATTTCCTCAACTCGCTGTACATTATATCTTTGACATTGTTTAACGTACATTGAGTAAATCTTTAGGTGCCGTTTCCCCATGGTTCACAGGGTATTTGAGTGTTCCATCCTGTGATCATATTTCCACTTGAAAACTATTCCTTACCAATTCGTACAATTCGCCATCCACGATAACAAAGGTGATGTAGTGACACATGTTCTGCATGACATTAGGTTGTCTACAGATGTACTTACATCTACATCATCCATACGTACGGACGACTGTCCCTGTGACTCAAAAGTTGTATGCAGGTCCTTAATGTGATCCGTTTTTTCGATTAACTACATACATATGTTGTATGACCTTAACCGCCAACATACCGCTCCTCTCTCTGCAGGTGAAGCTCGAAGTGTTTTCTTCCTCATCTGTTCCAGTATGGAACCCTCTGACAATGCCACCTTCTCATTAATATTGTTCAGCAGGTGCAACAATGCGACTGTTCCACATGTGTTTCGAAGGTTCTGTACCATATACGTTATAAACGTGACGCTACTCACCTGTCTGGCGAACCAAACGTTCGGCGAAAACTTCTTACTTGCCGTATATCTGGCATCTGTATCTCGGAAATGGCATATCTAAAATTGACTTTATTCACTTGTAAAAGTTGTTTTACCTTGGATGTCAGTGGTATCGTTACAATCACTCCAACGACCGGTTTTGCAAGCTGAACAGTTGTGTATGTTGTTTTTGTTTATCAAGTTAGACAATATCAAACATCTATATGGACTATTTTAAGTCATGAAGTTTATTTAAGCATATTCAGACACTGCCGCAGGTGATTGGTCATCACACAATTCCATAATAGTGACGACAAGATTCCATTGGCGCTCCCATTGCAACATTCACCAAACATAACCAATACAATCTGCACCCCTTAATGCTAACCTCCAGGTAGTACACTTTTGAAACAATAATATTGTCCCATCGGCATGAATTCCATATTGCCAAATGGTAAACGTGATAACACGACTCATTAAACAGCATGGAATCCTCACCTGATCGTACGCCCACTCCTCCCAAGCCAACAAGTCTTGGAAGACAACATTATTTTGTCCTAACTCCTTGGCATACTTATCGAAAACCTCTGGACACGCCTCAAGCGGCGCGAAGTCATTTCTCATGATGCCAGCTGCCGCGATGTGTACGTTCTTCTTCCAATTCCTTTTCAAAGAGTGCCTAGTTTTCATATAGATGTGAAACGGCTGCAATTGCAAAAGCACTGACGGTACAATAATATTTTTCCTAATAGCTTGTATAAACATATTCTATGGGCCCTCCAAGTGAGGAAAAAAATGCGGCCAGCTGAGCTAATCACGGCCCATGTCTACTAGTTTAGTGATATTTTGAACCCAAAACAGCTATTTCATATCAAGCGTAGGTTGTATAAATTGGATAACAATAGAATATTTACATCGAAGTTGTGACCAAGCGTCAATAGCTTATACTGCTTGACATTCCAATATCAGCTTTTATATTAATGTGTGTCTAATATATTTTATATTGTAACCATGTTTCTCTATTTCCTTTCTGTTGAATAGCGCAAATAGCTTGGTTTAGTAAATAGGTCACCGTGCCCAAAGGGTACATCCGCACAGGCTGAGATACGCAGGCTGCCACTATTGCAAGCTTGGAATACTACCTAGAGCTTTTATTACAACATAACTATATCATATGTTCTACAATTGTCCATTTGGTGTGTTTGTGTACCTCCCCATAGGAGGCCGCGCCACCGCAGCCCCCTCCCGGTTGTTTAAGCACTGCAGCGTTACAATCACTAATTATCGTAAACCCACACCCAGATCCTCCTGTCGGAAAATCTTGGTAAGTCACCGTTCTTTATTTATCGGCTTCCCCATCGACATTAGCGGCCGTAGTGTAATGGTTACTCTATTCCGGTATATGGCTGTTTACAGCGCTTCTGCCGCTGGTTTCCCCACTCATTTATGCTTTGATATTAATCTATAATCTAGGTCGTCTATAAAAAATGGCAAAGTCGAAGAACCACACCAATCACAACCAGGTTTGTGTTTGATGGTTATTGTTGTACACCTTTTGATAGATCCGCAAGGCTCACCGCAACGGTATCAAGAAGGTGAAGATCCCCAAGAAGATCTCTACCAAGGGGGTATGTTTTTCATACTCATTATGTCACTGTTCATTATTGACTGTACCAATATGTGTTGCTTTCAAGTTTGGGATTATTTCTTCGTGCTGTTCACTCTATAAATGTTGTATGCTAATTGTATTTTATACTTTGTTTGATTAACCTTTGTCTAGATGTGCCCCAAGTTCTTGCGTAACCAGAAGTTCTGCAAGAAGTACTTGAACGTCCCCGCTTCTGTGCGTGCCAACTAAACTTGCCGATAAGTCGTTGCTGAAACAACTGTCGTCGCTTGTTATAGTTTCATGATCATGGACATCACCTCAATCTTGTTACCATAATGGTGGCTGACTAATCAGTTCCACATAATGTGATCTATTTTGATTATAGTATACGTTGCCTGTCACTCTATATTCCGTTTTGGATTAACCAGAGTCCATGTTAGCTAATATGCATCCTTTCCTGTCGTGGATATAAGTTGAGTCCCTGTATCATATAGGCAAAAGGAATGCTGTAATGTACTATCCGTCATCTACTACCATGGACCAATCAACTGGACACAAGATTCTGTTTGACTACGGATCACTCCCTTGATAGCACTAGATCATGTGTTCCTTCCACCAAAGGGCAAAATGGTGGACCGATCGGGATTCGAACCCGAGACCTTCCGCATGCAAAGCGGACGCGATACCCCTTCGCCATCGGCCCCGCTTCGGATTTGGGCATTTTTAGTATGAATACCCGTTAATACATGTCGTGTTCAACTACGTTATATCTACATTTTTACGTTGTCACAACAATGTGCTAACACAGAATTGTAATAATGGCAGAAGCTCGCGTTACTTTGCCCGGCGACATCGTCAACAGCCAAGCATCGTCCATGTTGCAAGGTCGCGGTACATATGTGGACAACGGTGTTTTGCGAGCTAGTTTTTTGGGCACTTTCAAACAGGTAGGTTATGACGTCCATCTGCTTCGGTGATATCGTGTTCATGTGTAACCTATGTGCATACTGCCATCGCTGTCTTTAGCAGTCTTATACTCTATTTGTTCTTCTGTTGGATTTTATTATTTAATAACTATCTTAATCGATTCGCTTTGTGTTTAGATATCTATTGCTGTATTGTGCGGTTACCATTTGGTCATGTAGATTTCTATGATACTGTCCTTGGTGTTATTAGTACCTCTCCAGAATTCTAGTTACATTATGTGTCCGTGCTCATCATCTATGGTATCCACAGCTGATACCATATGGTAGTGCAGTACTAAACTGTGATCAGGTAAATCAGCTGGGATATGTAGAGCCACTGCACGGTAAATACTTTGCGCAAGTTGGTGACGTCGTCGTTGGCGTGGTTCAGAGGATCGGTGGCAACTGCTGGTACATTGACATTGGCTCATCAATGAAGGTACAGCTTTCGATTCTCCAAGTGAACACTGAGGAACTTGCCACCCGTCGTAAATTGGACGAGGACGTCTACGAGATGCGCAATCTTTTTGACATTGGTCACGTTATTTCTTGCGAGGTGCAGCGTGTATCGGTATGCCATCTTTTTTCGTATCTAAACACGTTTGCAGCCGAACGGCACTGTTATGCTTCAGACACGTACAAGCAAGTACGGTCGCCTAGACAATGGCATTCTAGTCAAGATCAAGCCTAACTTGATGTTACGTCAGAGCAAGCACATGCACGAATTACCTTCGGGTATAAGCATGATTTTAGGATGTAACGGTTTGTTTGTCTGTGTTATATTAAATATATTCAGGATTCATCTGGCTTGCTCCCTTAAGCAACCAAGGTGATGCAGCAACTCGGAGTCAAGTGTACCATGACATTTGCACTTTTAGACGCATCATATTATGTCTTGCCGGTGCTGGTATTCAGATAAACTATTCGCTGTTGTGTGAAACCTTTGATTTCTTCAAGCAAACGTGTGTTGGCAAGAACAGTTTGACCAAGGAGGAGGCGCCACAGTTACTGGAACGTTTCCTCTCCGAGAAGCGAGGTTGACCATATAACTGCACATCACCGCAGCTAGGGAGGACCAACTATTAACCGCATCTGAGTTATCGCAAACAAATAGCAGTGGAAACACGCTGTGAACGGTGCTTGCAGCACAACTCGCCAATAATAATCGCATATATACTATGATACGTCTAAATAACCACATTAAGCGATGATATAAAGTTGGCAATCTCATCCACAACGGTCAAATGCAAGCATTGCTCCTTTCCAAAAGGTGGTGGATTCATCGCCAATTGGATATGCCACTAATGGTGCCCCGCCAACTAATTGAGATGCCTCTATAGGGTTCAGTTTCTAATATATGTTTCATCACTAATCTGTTGAAACACGGACTTGTTATCATCATGTACCCTATGACGCCCACATATGTAATAACTAATTTATCATGTGAAACAATATACCCAATCTTAAGAGTATGTCTGTCAATAAGCTCAGACCTCGCCTTGTGCGCACATAAGCATCTGCGAATCAGTGACTGGCACAATGACCAAGACATACCTTTTGTCTGACACGCTCCATACGCTGGGCCTTTGTGATCTTCTTGTTGCGGATGTACTTCTTGCCATCGGAAGTAGTGACTGTGTGTCCCTTGATGATCCTGGTGGGAGCAGGCTTCTTGGTCTTGGGGACAATCGGGTTCTTGCGAATGGCAGCATGTGCCTGGGTGTACATGGCCTCAATGTTGTCCTCGTTTACTCCAGCCTTGAGGAAAGCAGAAAAGTGCTTCTTGTACTTCTCTGGGTCCTCCTCCTTCATTTCACGCATGTAGTTGGCGACGTGGATACCCATGATGCGTTCGCGGTGGGCCTCGGCATCGTAGTTGGTTTGCTTGTCATCGCTAACGGTGAAACCGGGGAACCTCTTTTCGCTGTGTGGGATGTGCAATCCACCATCACAGGCACCTTTCAAAGCACCGAAAACCTTGTTTCCAGTGGTGACGATTTTGATACCGACATCAAGAAGTGCCTTGAATGGCCTCCTTTCGTGGTCCTCCTCCTCGATGTGGAATACAGTACCATCTGGCTTCTCCTTTCCGACGAACTGGTTGTCCAACTTGAGTTGAGCTAGCAGCCTGCGGGCAAGTAGGAGCCCAGTGCAGTATGCAGCAGCGTAGTTGGTCAGACCGACCTTGACACCATAGTGCTTGAGCTCAGTGGAATCAGCGGATGCATGTACCTTGTCACCGACGATAGTGGCGGAGATGATCTGGCAAATGATGCGCTTGTTGGTGAACCTGACGACAAATCTGTACTTGGGAGAGGCGTATTTGTTCTTGTCCTGGAGGACCATACGCCTACGACAGTAGTAGTCGGTTTTACCCTCTGTACGACATGATTATTGCATCAGAAAATATGTGGACATTGGCAGGATACATACACTCGGTGTTTCCCTGGGTACACAGGGAACAAAGCGATTGTCACGGACGACAGGTCGAGTTGGGCCTTAGCACACCTCGGTTAAAGTACGTCTGTCATTATATGCCCACCGCAAATTGCCCCGCTTAGATTAACAGCGCTTCAGCTAGGGCAAACCTAGGTAGTTTATTTCTTACCTCTGCGCCTGCGGTTTTTGACCTGGTACCGCTTGAAGTAGGCCTTGGTCTTGAGCACGCGGATGAACGCCATTGTTCCTGTAGAAACGTATAAAATATGTTTACTAATTATGCTTGGGTTAATCTCCACAGGGGTCCTAGCCTATGTCCCTCTGCGTAAAGGGGTTACCAAGGCTTCCCAGTTGGTACCTCTTGTTTACCTACCTTCAGATCAGCTGTATACCCAGATAAGGATTCAGTTTGCGTACAGCAAATCTGTGTCTGGGGATGTAGCGGTATAATCGGTGACCGTGTGAGTTCCAACGGGTTGGAGTCACGTTCATCAAAATGGGGGGCGGGAGTCTGGCGGAGATTAGCATCAACGGCATCCGTCATCTTTACCTTATTAGGCAGGCATTTCTACGCTATACACTGTTTTAATTGCACTTTAGTGTCCGATATTCATCGGTAGAACGAACATGTGTTTAGTGAGGTTAATATGCTGTCGTCACCAAGGACAGACCCTGTAACTGCGTCCGTTGAGATTATATGCTGTGTTTACGACAGATTCTGGCAATAACGGCGGTGTAACTTCTACACATTGCTGTTATTTTTAATCTCTTGGGGCACAATGGTTTTATTTTTCTAGACCTTGGTGCATATGAACTATCAACAACACACTGGTTGATCTGTGTAATAACCACGACACACTAGACATATTTAACTTTACTGGGTCAATGTATATCCCTGGGATCTGATAACTGTCCGTCTAATATTGCTAAAGTTGCCAATTGGTGATTGCAGAATCCAGCGATGCACGACACATCTAAATTTCAATGTGACCTATCGATATACATCCATCTAACTGGCCCTAGAAGGTGCGAATTTATACCGCATGGCTTTAATATATTTCGTTTGTAAGACTGCCTCCGGCTGCCATCTGTCGGTGTATCCCCATAACTGGGGTCCAGCGGCTATAGCCCATTGAAGAGGAGCGTGCGTCAGCTTCACTCGTTTTTAAAGGCGACTATTTGCGGTTATCTGTGTGACCGCGCGAGTCCTGTAGATTACTCTGAGTGGTGAGTTGTGTTTAGGTCTGCGTGTTGTGTCCCAATAGCCTAGGTGTTAGGGGGTGTTGCTAAAGTGTCTCCTTTTGGCCACCGTCCACTGCGTCTTGGTTATATATGCGTTATTTAATTTACCTCGTGTTTTTGCGGGCCTAGTGGTCGTGTGGTCTCCATCGTTTGTGCCTACGCTGCCTCATAAGTGTTGCTCATATTATTTCAGTCAACACCATTCCAACCCATAACAGGACGTCGCTATGGCAGACCAGAGGACGGGTGGTATGTCTGGAGGCGCAAGCAAGGGCAAGGGTGCCCCTGGCAAGGCCTCTAAGGTTGCCCCAATGCCCAAGGTTTTGAAGCAGGAGAAGGTCACTAAACAGCGCGACCCCTTGTTTACTGCACCTCCCAAGAACTTACGCATTGGTGGTGACATTCGTCCCCGTGTTAACCTTTCGCGTTATGTGAAGTGGCCCAAGTACGTGCGCATTCAGCGTCAGCGCCGTGTTCTTCTTCAGCGTCTGAAGATCCCACCAGCCATTAACCAGTTCAACTACACTATTGACAAGAGCCAGGCTCACCAGCTTTTGAAACTATTGAGCAAGTACAAGCCTGAGACTCGCAAGGAGAAGTCTGCCCGTTTGTTGGCCGACGCCAACTCCATTGCTCAGGGCCAGGAGGTCGCTTCTAAGAAGCCCTACATGCTCAAGAGTGGTTTGAACCATGTGACTAACCTCGTTGAGTACAAGAAGGCCAAGTTGGTTGTGATTGCTCACGATGTTGACCCTCTTGAGTTGGTGATGTGGCTTCCCACTCTTTGCCGCAAGAAGGAGGTTCCTTACTGCATCATCAAGGGCAAGAGCAGGCTTGGCAAGCTAGTCCACAAGAGGACTGCTGCGGTAGTGGCCATTGACAACATCCGTAAGGAGGACCAGGCTGAATTTGAGAGCATGACTAAGGCTTTCACCGCTATGTTCAACGACAACACCGAGTTGCGTCGTCGTTGGGGTGGTCACGTCATGGGTATCAAATCGCAGCGTCAGCAGGCCAAGGCTAGGGCGTTGATCGCCATGGAGAACGCGAAGAAGCT